TTTTATGGTAACTATTTCCAAGAAAAAGTACTCGATCATATGTAACGCACTTTCGCAAAAAAATCTTGCCATTGTTATTAATCTATGATTTTATTTCAAACCACAAAGTCATGTGGAAGTTCACGATTTTTATTCAGGGTGTTATCTCGACAAGCACATTCACAAAAAAATCGGATAATTTTTTCGAGATTATGTAAGACTTTAAGTCAAGGATCACTATTTAACATCCACCGCCAAATTATTCCGCTGAGATGCTAAAAGTGTATTGCATCGGGAGCACCTATACCCGAAGTAGATCGGCGACGCTTCTTATTGGGCCCTATAATGAATTTAAAATTTTAGTGCCAGCACAACCCTCAAATATGCTTACCTTTCTGGTCTACTAAACGAAGCAAACGTTTCAATTCGATCAACTCCCTATCTAGATCTTTTGCACTCGCTCCTGTTTTGCTCAAAGCAAAATCGATCCACCACACACGACTCTGACCCGTCAAGTGATTTTTCTCCGCCATTATATTCTCCAATCTAATATCACCATGCAATATCCCTCTTTTATGGATCGCTTGTAAGCCCTCAACGGCCAACAGTTTCTCCTTTTTCATAACGTCATTTCCCAACTTCGCAAACGAAATTCCAGCTGATGTCATAAGAATGAAGACAAACGCTTCATGAAGAATACCGAATCGTAGAAGCTTTGGGATATGCACGCCTTGAATGTCGATGAGTGGTCCGACGTAGATTCTGATTTCATTAAGCATTTCCTCCAGTAATTCCTTGTTTTTGTATAGGTCAGCCAGTTTGAGAGCGCCTGTCTTTCCACAGAGTTTAGCTGTCAGAACAACTCCTGATCGACCATGTCCCAGTACACTTCCAAGCAAAAACCGACTACGATTATAGTTTCTCATCTTTTCGATTTTAACTTCACCTTGGAGGGATGTAAATTTATTTGACCAAAAATAATTACTCTCATCTTCATATTCGGAAGCATTTTCAATTTCGTCTTCCTCATCTTGGATATTGTCATCATCTTGAACATTGTCGTCATCTTGAACATTGTCATCGTCATCATTGTCGTCATCTTGGACATTGTCATCATCATTTTCGACATATTCAAGGTCAGTGGTAGGTGGTGATGAGTGCACAAATGGGTCTGCCATGCATAGGTCTTCGAAATAATGCATGCATTCTAAGAACGAGGGTTGAGTCGACGTGTGGCTTTGATCAATATCAACAGAAGGAGAAATGTAAAGAATATTTGGATCTTTATTTTGACGGTGGAGGAACCACGTTCGAGTGTATGACGTGAGTAGGCCATATCGCATATCATTAATGACCATATATCCGAAAATCTGCCGAATTAGTTTGACGATTTTTTGACAACGTGTATATTCAGTTGTGCCATCATCAATCATGTCCACTGCGCTGTTGTACTTCTCGTGTAAATGAATTTGCTTTCCTTCGTCCACATCGATATTTACAACAGGTTGGTTGTGCGCGTCGATTAATTCCTCCCCCAGCGCAATTCTCATAAGCCATTCAGGTTTAATTTCGACTACTGAAAATAAATGATCGACTGACCATGACTCTAATTCATCATTATTATCGGCGCTACCGAATATAACATCTGGATGACCCACAATATCCACAAAATAACCACGCTTGCACCACGTTGCTGGTTTCGGCAGGCGAATTAATCTTTGCTTGTTGAAGGTGTTCATCGTTTGTAAAAAAAGATCAGTCGTCATATCTTCATTTGTTATTTTGATCGC